ATATATAATGTATCTAATGTATATGAGTGGTATGATGTATATAAATACCTAAAAATAAACTTGCACAATATAATTATATATTGAATGTAATCATCATCATCCAGTGCCAGATCTGCGACAGACATCGGCGATAATGGTTTTCCATTCATTCCTTTGCTCGGATGCTCTCAAAAAAGCTCTTTCCCTGATCTTTCCCTGTTACCCATTTGTTCAGGTTCCCTAAGTATGTTGTTCTCGGCCTACCTGCCTCGCTTGCCCTCAATTTTGCCAGTGAGAGCTAGATGTTCAAGACCCTTATGTCTGTTCAGGTGTCCCAAAAACTGCATTTGTCGTTTCCTGATAGTTTTTAACATTGAGCGTCCCACGTGGGCTTCATAAAGCACTACCTCATTTGATTTCTTTTCTTCAACGATAATCTTAGCAGTCTCCAAAGAAACCATATTTCTGTTGCTTCTATTTCATTTTCACTCTCTTTAGTCCAGCATTCACAGCCATATGGAAAGGTTGACCAAACATAGCATTTCTGGACTTTCATTTTTAGTGTTCATTGAGATGTTTCTATTTTTCAGGATTGGGCTCATTTTATTGAAACTAGCCTTAGCCATTACAGTTCTCCTTTTTATTTCTGTGGAACATTTGGCGTCAGATGTTATCATATATCCTAGATATTTAAACTGTTCAACTTGTTTGATCTTTTCATTGTTGCTAATGAGATTACAACTAGGATTTGCTGCTTTTTTGGATATTGAATGTATTTTACACAATAAAGGTGCCTGTTTCTGATTTTTTATCCTGTGTTCGTTGAGAAATTAATAATAATAATGGATAGCATTTGTATAGCGCAAGTCCCCGCTCAACAGCAAGCTCTATGTGCTTCACAATCTATACTATTACCCCAGCAGACCTGAGAGCATTTTGAAACAAATTCAACTTCCTGGGAAGCATACAGTGCAAGCAGCCATTTATAGGCAGTAAAACACTAACATACTGACAAGATCTTTCGCTGTCTATGGCCGGGTACCCATTTCCACCCGGGTGAAGTGAGGAAAATTTGTGTAAAATGCCTTTCCCAAGGACACAACGTCGGGCCCGCGTCTCGAACCCCCGACCCCGCAACCTCACGATTAAGAGTCCGGTAGCCTAACCACTAGACCACTGACGCCACAAAGTAAACTGAGCATTTGAACGTACCTAGTCTTACTTGAACATGTATACACATATTATTATTATTATTATTATCTCATTATCAT